TCTTCCACCAGGGTCGTCCCAACCACCACCACGCCATGCCATAGCTGTCTCCCCACCGGCCTACTGGAAAGCATTTGGCTGGCGTTCTCTATGTTGCTGGTGGGAGACATACTACGGCCGTCGTCGTCGCCCGTCGTTCCCAACCTCTTCCGGCCGGCCGTTCGGTCACACAGGGCGCCCTCCACAATCACCGACGCCAAAAAATCTTGCTTTGCTACCTGCGAGGGGAGCAGGGCGTGCGCTATCCGGCCGCTTTCCGACCACGACCGCAAGGCGTTCAACGGATTGTTCAGGAGGTACAAGTGGACAGTGGTGCATAAAACTCATGCAGAGGTGCGTCAATGGCCATTGATTCAATCCAGTGTCACGCATCATGTCGTGGGAGCTCTCTTGCCTGTTGATGTCGGCCAAGCTAGCTGCCATTGCCATCTCACGCCGGTGGCGACGGCGTGGCCGCGATGTCCTTGGCAGAAATTTTTTGGATACGATTGAAAGCGGCCAAACGAAGCACAGGGAGCTGCTGCCTGTCCGCCGAGACCAACACACGCTTTCATGAGGACGTGGACGCGCGCCGCACGCCAGTTTTCTCGACCGAAACCGACCCCGTGCCGTGCCGCGCGGCTGGACCGCCGGTCCCACACACATGCACGCAGATGGGACCCACGAGATAGCGACGTCCACGTAGGCAGCTATCTGTTTGTCCATGCGGACTGATGTTGACGACTCCAAAGCTCGTGGCATCAGCTGCTGCTGGTGCCCGCTCATGCACACCTACTGGCCTTTATACTTTTTTTTTGCGGGGTGACTGGCCTTTACACTTTGGGATGATTAGCACCACTTTGTGTAGGATTACTGGAAGTGTTACACAATAGCATCATTATCCTTTTGTTAGGATCAGTGCTTGGTAGCCAAGCTAAGTTATTTAGAAGATCCCAACACAGCTGAATCATGGGTGACTTTCGGTTGGTGACATGAATAATCATGGACGACTTCGACGACTTCCAGGACAAATGTGTATAAAGCAGCATATCACCACGTACTACCACTAGAAGAAAAGAGAAGATCACTCAATAGAATGTTTGTAGATAGATATCTCGTATAGAGATATGTTTGATGCTTTTCGTGGCGTGCGCCAACCGTCCAGCTCGGCTTTGCCCGATCGCCCAAGCATGGCATTGCACACCAAACAAGCCATCCCTCTTCTTCTTGTGTGATTCTAGTATAGTAGCATCTGCTTTTGCTTGTCGTGTGTGTCAAAAGGGGATGGATATCCACCACCAAGATCTCATCAGATCAGTGTGGTACAATCATTTCTTCCTAGCTAGGAGTATGTTGGCCAAGATCTGAACAAAAAGAGCAGAAATGAAAAGGATTTTTTTTGTAGAGAGCAACAAAGGAAAAAGGAAAAGGAAATTTGAATCGGATGAATCATCTGAAATCTGAATTATTATCACAAAGAGATATGTTAGGACTCTATTACAGCCCAATGCTAATCTATGTACTCTCTCACCAATACATACATTTGACACTAATCTCGTCCGCATTTCAAGAGGAACCAACCAATCGGCTGGTCACCGGGCGTCGCCGCCGGCGGTGCTGCTGAACCCGATGTCGTGGCCGCCCTTGCGCAGAGTGCTGGTGAGCGACGACGAGCTCAGCGAGTCGGACGAGGAGTCCTCATCCGACAGGTTCAGCCCCAGCGCGTTGTAGTCGGACACGCTGTCCTGGAGGCTCAGCAGCAGCTGGTGGTTGGCGCTGAAGCTCATGGACGGCCTCGCCGCCGGCACGAACGGCGGGTCCGCCTCCCCGCTCAGCATCTGCACCACGGCGCGCATCCCCGGCCGGCGCTCCGGCTCCGGGCTGGAGCACACAAGCCCCACCAGCAGCACCCGCCGCATCTCCCCCTCGTCGTACTCGCCGCCGAGCCGCGGGTCGACGGCGTCCAGCACGCGGGCCTCGCCGTGCAGGCTCCACACCCACTCCACCAGGTTGTTGCACCGGCCCTCCGTCCCGATGGGCCGCCGCCCGCACGCCACCTCCAGCACCAGCGCGCCGAAGCTGAACACGTCGGTGGCCTCGGTGGCGCGGCCGGTCAGCATGTACTCCGGCGCCAGGTACCCCATGGTGCCGGCCGCGGCCGTGGCGTCCGGGGACGCGCCGTGCTCGGCCTGCCGCGCGAGCCCGAAGTCGCCCAGCCGCGCGCGGTACGACTCGTCCAGCATCACGTTGCTCGACTTGACGTCCCGGTGGATGACGCGGCGGTCGCACTCGTGGTGGAGGTAGGCCAGCGCGGAGGCCACGCCGGCGAGGATCTCGTGGCGGTGGCGCCACGGCAGGGCCGGGGAGGAGGCGTCGAAGAGCGTCCGGTCCAGGCTGCCGTTGCGCATATAGTCGTAGACCAGCAGGATCTCGCCTTTCTCGTAGCACCAGCCCTGGAGCCGGAGGAGGTTGCGGTGGCGGAGGCCCGCGATGATGGAGAGCTCGGAGAGGAACTCGGCCCGCGCCTGCGCGCCGTCGGCGTTGGCGTTGGTGCACCGCTTCACGGCGACCATGGCGCCCGTGTCCGGGACGATGCCCTTGTACACGACGCCGAACGCGCCGTTGCCGATGACCCGGGACGCGTCGAAGCCCCGCGTCGCGGCGCTGAGCTCCTTGTAGGAGAACTCCCGCGGCGACCGCGCCATGGCCGCCGCCGACGCCACGTTGTCGCGCTTCGTGGCCACCGCCATGGCGTCCCGCTTCCTAGCCTTGGCGCGGCGCGCGAGCGCCCAGAGCGCGAAGCCCGCGAACGACGCCGCCACGACTGCCCCCGCCGTCGCGGCGCCGGCCACGGCCCCTTGTGGAGGCGGGTGCGGCGTCTTGGCATTATTCCGAGCGACCGAAATGGCCGGGGCGCTCGCCGCAGTAACTGAGCTGGTCGGCGGTGCCGAAACCGTCGCTGGTGTCGCTGGCGGCGTGATGCCCGGGAGCTGCGGAGTAGAGGGAAGCGTCGGGTCGAGGACCCTCGCCGGAGGGGGAGCAACCGCGGAAACGGGCGGCGGCTTGGACGGCGCCGGGGAAGGAGGGGACGGGGTCGAGAAGCTCCACCACTCGATGGCGTGGATCTCCGTGCTGCCCTGCGTGGAAGCGGAGAACCCCACGAACGCCTGCTCCTTGACATAGCCCGCCAGATCGACCGTCGCCGACAGCACCGGCGCCGGGGGCCGCTTGGCCGAGTAGGACACGAACACGTCCATGGCCTTCCCCGGCGCGTACTCGATCCACGCGTACACGGTCCTCCCGCTGGTGAGCTCGACCCCAGCCAAATCCAGATCGGCGGCGGCCACGGACACCATGCTGCCGAGATCGACGCCCACGTGGTTCCCGTTGACGTCCCCGAACTGGAGGTCCATGAGCGTGTCGAACTCGACGGCGACGTCGGCGGCGGGGTCGAGCCCGATGAACGCCCCGCCGTCGCCGACGGAGGCGGCGTCGGGGGCGACGACGAAGGCGAGCCCCCCGCCGACGGAGCCCCGGTTGAGCGTGGTGACGGTGAAGGCGAAGCTGGTGGAGAAGCCGGCGAGGAGGCGAACGGGGGCCGCGTAGAGCGCCCGCCCCGCGGCCGAGGTGGGCACCGGCAGGTCCCGCGTGAGGCGGATGGTGTTGTTGTTGAGGTGCGCGTCGCCCAGCAGCTTGAGAGTGGCGAGGGTCAGCGTGGCGTAGTCGAACCGCACCGCGTCGGCCGTGGCGGCGGCGTCAGCCAGCAGGAAGAGGATGATGCTGAGGAGGAGGAGGGGAGGGGAGGTGGTGGTGAGCGTGGCCATTGCGGGCGGCATTGGAGGTGGCGTGGGGATTGGGAGACATTTACATGAGCTGGAGTGCGTGGGGAGTGAGCTGAGAGTCTGAGACCGACCGGGAGAGAGAGTTGGTGAGGTGGGAGATGAGATGGGATTAGCGGGGCGGGGGCGACACGTGCGCGCGACGGGGGTGGGGTGGCGTTGTGGCGAGGCAACGGTAGGGAGTGCGGGCGGTGCGGTGGCCGCGGGTGGCGGAGTCAGAGTGGTGGGGGAGCCCGCGCGTGAGCGGGGCAGAGCAGAGCAGGGCAGAAAGGCAGTGACGGGTGCTCGCTTTTGCGGCCGTGGCGTTTTCCCTCGTGCGCTGCGTTTTTCCAGGTGCGGGTGCGGGTGCGACGACGCCGACTGCCGCGCCACCGGTCTGCTGTTGCTGTCACGACGGCGGCGGCGGCGCTGCCCATGCCCGTCGACCAACGGTAGGAAACGCGGCGCGCGAGTGGGGGCGGGGCCGGGGGCTTGGGGCCGGGGTCGCGTCGTGGACCGGCGAGGTGGTGTCACGGGCGCGCGTTCGACACGTATGTGCGTGCGTGGATGGGCATGGGCCGCGACTGGGCGAGGTCGAGCTGGATGGATCGGGCACATGAACAGCTGGGTGGAACGGTATCCATGCGTCGGCCATGTAAGCAGATGGTTCGTGGTGCCACCCATGGTTTCAGACCCTGAGTACTCGCATATACCAATACTTTGTTCTTTTACTTTCGAGGGTAAAGGGAGTTTATTGCAGAGTTATAGAGTTACAGTCGAGAGGCCACAAGTCCTCGAGAACCACATAGCACGTTGTGTGTGCCCAGTTTTCCCCCAAACCCTAAAACCCTGGCGGCGCCGGTGGCGATTAGGGTTTGACGTGGATTCAACTTTGCCCAACGACTCGTCGCCGGTGCAAGAGAGAGCGGAAGAGACAAGTGCCCCGGGCTCATGGCTGCGCCTAGCGCCGCGGGCTTGGGGGAGGGGAGCGATCCCCAGGCGAGCTGCGCCGCCAGGAAGAAGCTTGAGGAGGCGTTGGGGAAACTTGACATATCCGAAGAAGAGGCTACTCCTCTGATCCTCGACGATCGCGTCGAGGGAAGGCCGGCGAAGTGGCTTTTGGCCGGGAAGGTGCTCCATCGGAACCATCTTCATATTCAGACCATCACTAATGCGCTTCGGCCGACATGTGGCAACCCGCGTGGTTTGCAGTTTCGATCAGCGGGCGTCAATGTGTTTGTAGCAGAATTTGAGAGCCAGAGGGACAGAGATAGGGTTTGGAGTGGCTCGCCATGGCACATCAGTAAGAACGCCGTGGTGCTGGCTGAATTTGATGAATGCATGCGGCCTGATGAGGTCCAATTCGATCGTATGCAGATTTGGGCTAGGGTTATGGATCTACCCTATAACCTTAGGGATGAAGTGTGGTGGATGCCGATCGCTAAGCAGATGGATAAAAACGCCCAATTTGTAAAGTTTGATCATAATGGTGGCTTTCTGCGAGCAAGGATATCCATTGAGGTAGATAAGCCTTTGAGAAGATGGATCTTAATCGAGTCTGCCAGGAGAAAGAAGATGGATGCATATGACATTCAATATGAACAGCTGCCCTACTTTTGTTTCTCCTGTGGTAGATTAGGGCACTCAGAACTGTATTGTGCTACTCCGGGCTCACGCGATGACAAGGGTGAGCTGCCATTTGGTTCTAAACTCCATGCGCCGGATGATGCAAAGAAGGCGCCGGTCAGCGACAATTCCTCCAGGGATACAAAGTCTCAAAGCAAGCCAACCACGAGGAACTCTAGCACTAACAAGGAACCTGGGGTGGAAGTGACATCTCCTAAGAAGAACAAGCAGCCACAGAAGCGGAAAGATGCCCCTCATCAGGTATATAAACCCGTGGCTAAAACCTTGTTGCTTACGGATGGGAGCTCAGGTGCTGCAGTGGAGGATGGGGGAGCGACCATCATGGACCCAACCACAGCTAGCAACGATACAGAGGGAGATGACTTTACTCGTGATACAAAGAAGAAGAAGCCCACACATGATAATTCGGCAGAGACCGCGCCGCGGTCCTGCCAGTCACAATGAGTGTACTAAGCTGGAACTGCCAGGGGCTTGGGAACCCCGAGGCAGTTCGGGAGCTTCGCAGTATCGTGAAGCTGGAAGGCCCCTCCCTTCTCTTTGTAATGGAAACTAAAATCAATGCCAAAAGAGTTGAGGATCTAAAGTTTACGCTGGGTTTTGCAGGCAGTTTTGCAGTGGACAGTGTTGGCCTTAGTGGCGGCATAGGTCTTTTCTGGTCCAGAGATGTGACCGTGGATTTGAAGAATTTCAGTAAGAATCATATTGATGTACTGGTACATAGAAATAATCAAAACGCTTATGTTTGGCGTTTCACGGGTTTTTACGGAGCACCGCGAGCGGAAGAGCGACACCACAGTTGGCGGTTCTTGCGTACTTTACACAACATTCCCCATAGTGCTTGGATGTGTATGGGAGATTTTAACAAAACTTTGTATGCGTGTGAGCATTTCAGTAGAGCGGCTCGGTCTTAAGCTCACATGAGATCCTTCAGGGAGGTTGTGGATGATCTATCTTTCCAAGATCTAGGCTGGTCTGGTACGGCTTATACGTGGGACAATCATCAAATGGGAGAAGCAAATGTCAAGTCACGGCTAGATCGAGCTTTTGCGAATGAGGAATTTCGGCAATATTTTCACCATATACTGGTGCGTCATCTGCCTTTAGTTGAGTCTGACCATTGTTTTGTGTTAGCAGAAATCAAAGAGGTATTGTCGGATCGTCGGAGGGCGAAGAAACAATTCCGTTATGAAAACGTATGGCAAACTCATACTGATTATGACCGTCTCGTTGGGCAGACTTGGCGGGGCATACCACACTCTCCGGGCCTCCAAGGCATTGCATCGGCACTTGGTACCTTGCAGGCAACCCTTGAGCCATGGAGTTTGAAGGAATTTGGGTGTTTGGCGCGTACTGTCAGACAACTTCAACAACGACTGAATCGTGTTCGGTCTCAGACTATAGGCACTAGGCCTTCGGATGAGGAGAAAAGCATTGTAAAGAAACTGAAAGAGGCCTTGCTTCAAGAGGAGATTTGGACTCGACAGTGTTCAAGAGTTCCGTGGCTCCGAGAGGGTGATCGTAACACATCATATTTCCAAGCGCAAGCAGCTCAACGCCAACGTATGAATAAGATCTCAGATCTTCGCCGAGCGGATGGCACGATTTGCGCTAGTGGAGATGAGGACAAGGTGGAGGTGCAGAACTTCTACCAGCGACTCTATGAATCACAGGGTTTTGCGGATCCTCAGCTACTATTATCACATATGCCAGTTAAAGTGACACAAGCGATGAACATAGAAGTTTCCAAACCCTATACCCCGGAGGAAGTCAAAGTGGCACTATTTCAGATGGCTCCTTCGAAGGCACCCGGTGTTGATGGGTTTACTGCAGGTTTTTATCAGCGTCATTGGGATCTACTTGGTAATGATGTAACCGAGGCAGTACTTGATTTTCTCAATGGAGGGGAGCTGCCAGCGGGACTGAATGACACGTCTATAACTCTGATCCCAAAGGTTAGACACCCCCAATCGATATCACAGTACCGTCCTATTGCACTGTGCCCAGTTTTGTATAAAATTGCTGCTAAGGCAATCACCAATCGTTTGAGATGCTTTATAGATGAGATTATTAGCGAAGAGCAAAGCTCTTTCGTACCCGGACGCCTCATTACGGACAATGTTCTTGTAGCTTATGAAAGCGTACATACGATGAGGAGGAGGAAGAAGAGCAAAAACTATTCATGTGCGGTCAAGTTAGATATGATGAAAGCATATGATCGTGTTGAGTGGCATTATCTCGAAGCTATACTAGTTCGGCTGAGCTTTTGTATGAGCTTTGTTAGATTGATATTGAAGTGTGTCTCCTTGGTGCGCTTCTCGGTGCGGGTTAACAGTGAACTTTTACCATACTTTACACCATCCAGAGGTTTCCGACAAGGTGATCCAATTTCACCATTTCTTTTTCTGCTATGTGCGGAAGGATTTTCCTCGCTGTTGAAATATTACAGTGGAGTTACCATAGACAGAGGTCTGAGGGTGAGTTATAGATCACCATGGGTCACACATTTATTATTCGCAGATGACAGTTTGATTTTTATCAATGCAAGTAACCCAAGTGCTCTTAGACTCAATGAGATTCTTCGGGTTTATGGAGAGGCTTCGGGACAAAGTGTTAATCATGACAAAAGCTCTGTATACTTTAGTACTAACACTCCTGATTCATTGAGGCAGGTTCTGCAAGCAACTTTAAATATCCATGTGCAAGCTTTCAGTGAGAAATACCTGGGGCTCCCAATTGCTGTGGGTAGAATTACAGGTGGCACTTTTGATCATATCAGTGAAAGAGCTCGTGGGAAGATACAAGGCTGGTCGGAAAAATTATTGGCATGTGCAGGTCGGGAAACACTACTCAAATCTGTTATTCAATCAATTCCTACTTATCCAATGAGTACTTTTCTTCTGACCAAGAAAGTTTGTAAGAGTCTTACTTCACCAATGGCCAAGTATTTTTGGAGTAGTTCTCTTGACAAGAGATCTCTGCATTGGGTGTCCTGGAAGGAGCTAGCTACACCTAAGTGCAAGGGTGGGATGGGGTTTAGAGACCCGCATCTTTTTAACCTGGCTATGTTGGGCAAACACGATTGGCGATTCCTCACCAATCCCAATTCCCTCTGTGCAAGAGTTTTGAAGGGTCGTTACTTTCCTGACAATGATTTCATGAATGCTACTATACCCAAGTCAGGGTCGGCCACTTGGAGGGCGATCATGGCAGGAAGAGAATCCCTTCGGGCCGGACTGATCTATCGAGTAGGCGATGGTTCTTCCATATCTGCCTGGAATGATAAGTGGATCCCAGGTACAATTTCTATGTCTCCTATCTCCCGACCCCAACATACTAACATTGAGCGTGTGTTAGAGCTAATTGATACATCT